TGAACAACAAGCTTCCCCTGCTGTACCTGAATCGTGCTGCCTGCCACCTTAAACTGAGGAATTTACACAAAGCTATTGAAGATTCCTCTAAGGTATAAAAAATACCATCATCTTATGCATTATTGTGGTTTATTACTGTGATGTTTCTGTTTTAAGTGGATCTGTAAATACATATTAGTGCGATTCGGAATTTTAAAATTCAAACTTGATATAATGAAGCCATGCTGGAATATTGAAATTTGATAGTGATTAATGAAGTTTCAGAAATTTAAAACAAAACAACAATTAAAAAACTCTAAACCATGCTTCTACACATTTGGGACAAATGGCCATGTGTTGACTAGCATGTGTTTCTTTACAGATAAAAATATATACACTTGAAAAGCAATATATACACTTCAAAAAACCCTCAACTTGGAGCAGAAAAAAACACCAAAACAAAATATACACAGATACCGTTTCTATTACACTGTGGTGTGCTTCATTTGTTGGAAGGAAAAAATAAAGGTGTGGTGGTGATGAGCAGGATACCTTCAAAAAACCCCAACAAACCAGGCATTTTGAAAGAAGGGCGGTATCACCTAGATGTTTTAGCAGCCATTATTTGTGCAATGGGAGGAGTGATCTCAATTGCACCTGAATAATGTGGAGGAATTTTTGCCAGAATTATTATTTTTGGAACTAATAAGTACTTGAATCTTCGTGGTTTGTTTTTTTTTTTTTTCCTAGTAAGTACTACTAAAACACACATACTTTTTTAGGGCTGTCTTTTTTTTTTTTTAAATAACATGGTATGTAATATTGTGTATGAAAACAGAACATTATTTGACTGTAATAAACATTTAACATAGTATTTGTCAGTTTTTAGCCATGGCAGTGTAACTGTAGTTAGCAAACTGGGGTGATGGATACAAATCTTAATGAATAGATTCACAAGCTGTATAGTTTGAATTCGAATAGTTATTTCTATTTCTATTTGAATAGTTATTATGTTACTGTATAATAATAGTAATTAGGTGAGAGAAGTGTGTGTAAACTAGAAAACCCCTCAAATTATGGCAAATATTCTTATAAATACTTTGGGTGTTCTCATTTCTAAAGGCACTAGAACTGTTGACACCACCTGTTCCTGATAACGAGGGCGCTCGAGTGAAAGCCTATGTGAGACGTGGAACAGCCTTTTGTCAGCTGGAATTATATACTGAAGGTGAGGCCTTGATTTTATGGAAGTGTGCACATGAATTTAGAGTGACAAGCAAGTAATTCTGTTTAGTTCAATGGGACTGCTCACACCTGTATGTTTTCAGGAATGACTTTGAAGGAGCTCTATACAATCTATGTCTCTGTTATGAACCTTGATACCACGTTCCTTATTTTTTTTTTTAATTTTGCTGGCTGATTGCAGTTCCACTTGAAAAATCTTGAAAAAATACCTGAGTTAACAGTGTCCCTACTGAGTTCTTCAGGAGTATCAAGTTAGTTTTGTAAAGCAAATTTACGAGTGAAAGCTGATAATAGAAACTGAAGGATATTCAAAATGACAGTGTTCAAGTGCTAAGCTTTGGCCATTCTTTACTTTCTTCTATCTGTGAATCACTTTGTCATTCCCTTACAGCTTCATTTGCACTTGGAAACCTTGTGAAAAAGACAGTTAAGATTTTACTTCCTGTGCTCATTATTTGCTAACCCCACCCTCAAGCTCTAGTATTCACCGTTCACGTCTTCTTTTCCTTACTTCCACATATTCATTTCTGTCATTCATTTTTCCTCTCTTCTGCAGAACACTCCTGTCATGCACAGACACACATATATATATATATATATATATATATATATATAGGTATATATATGTAAATGAAGAGACTCTGCTTTCATGTTTTAAAACCTGAAAAGTTTATGTAGTAGAGTGTTTCCACTAAAATGTTTGTAAAATAATATAAACAAAATATAAGTTTATTTACTGACAAAAGGTAAATCTGATGTCATTCTGATTCCATCATCTTAAGAGTAAAACTCAAAATCAATACTTCATGCTTATGACTAGGGAACAGTTATTTCCAGGTGGTTGCTAAAGAGGATGCTCTTGCATTATTGATTGACATTCTTATTAATGTATCTATATTAGGTCTCCAGGATTATGAAGCAGCTCTCAAGATTGATCCTAAAAATAAAAATATAGAAAAAGATGCTGAGAAGATTCGACACCTAATTCAAGGAACAATGCAAGGTTCTTAATTCAAATAAACACGAAAAAAAGAAACTCTTTGGCAGAGATGCCTTTTGAGAACATCAGAAGGAATCTTATTTCTTTTCTTATTTATTTCTTTTCAGTATGTGTTAACTAGATGTTTTTTGTGCTTCACTCAAAACACCTACAGAATTGGTAATGGATTGGATATATTAATTTTTTTTTGAAAGTATAGTATTATAACAACCATAATTAGATAGATTTTATCTCATTTTGATACAGTAGTCATATTTTTGCTTTTTGTTAGCATTTGTGTTACCCTGAAAATCTGAAACACTGGATTTGAAGCTGTTCCATTATGTTGAGTTCTTTCCAAGCTGTGACCATTTCAACTACACTTGTTTCAGTAGCAGTTTTAGCAGACTTCTGTTTCCTGAATACCATTTATGACTGATTTCTGTCTTTATAATAAAATATTTTTTATGCACATATATATATTATTTTGTGCAAATTCTGTACTTTTGGAACAGGGAGAAGGTTGCTTCCAGCTGCTTTAGTTAGAGCCTTGAGAGGAGTGCTGAGGTGAGTCAGAAATGTCTGGTGTAGTTGCTGTCTGTGCTTTCCTACAGATACCTGTTGCATTGCTGGAAGGGGCTGCAAATACTCTTTTATAGCAGCTGGAAGGAGGGCAGTGCAGGAGCTTTAGTGCCTCAGTTGAGTGTATTGCTATACTTGCCCAAATATGGCTATTTTATATAATTACTGTGGGGAAGTGAGGGCTAAGGAGGAGACACACTGGCAATGGGAGAAAGAAAATGCAAAGAAGCAAGCGCTGGCTGTAAGTTCACCATTTTTTTTTTCCCCCTTAAAAGGGAAGCAAATGTGCTTGGTGGCATGAACAGTATCTGCCTGTTTCATCTGATAATGTTGGGAGCAAATGCATGTTAAACCTGTTAACTTCAACACCTGAGCTGATGGTGTGTACACCACATCTGAACCATGTACATTATGTTGGTATTTAATCTCCTCAGATGTAAGAATATGGAGACTGACTTTTAAAACCAGAAAATACTTAAGTTAGAACAAGTAAACCTTCAGGTCAATGTCTCTTGCACCTAACTCTTTCTGAAGTTAGAGTTCCACATTTATGAGACCAGTTGCAGAGTTTTATTTCTGTGGGTTTAGGTTTGATTCAGAGAACTGCATCATCAAATAGGCTCCATCCTTTTTGATACATCTTATTCAACGCATCTTATTCAGCATTTCAAGTAACAGGACAAAGCATTTCAAATTTGTTGAGCGTTTGTGGTCAGAGCAAATATTGCTCAAGATGTGTATTGAAATACATACATGGTGGAGAGTGAGGAACTTAACACTTTGACCTTATTTAGTAAACTGTGGACAGTGATAATTGGACTTATGATGACTATGGAGGATAATACAATTTGGACTTTGCATTGATTTCTGCATTAGTGATAATCTTGAGCATAGAAGATAACATAAGTGGCAGAAATAATTAGTATGGGTAATAAATATAGGAATGAGATTAAGAATATAGTGAAGCTTTGTGGATGATGTGTTTTAGTTTTGACTTTTTCTAATATACAGAAATATGAAAAATAGAGGCCTAAAGAAACATCCAAGTGACTGTACTTACTCATGTTCATGTGCATGAATTTTTATTTTTATTCTTTTCCTCTGTAGGGAGTGAGTTAACATATGACAGGTACTTCTTAGTCTGTTTATGGAAAGTGCTCTAGTGCTGTATTAATGAGCGTGTGGTAAAACTGCACCGACTAAGGAACCTCCCTTAGTGTTGCTGAGCAAGCCATTTACAACCCGCTGTTCTTCAGAGGTGCCATGAAATCTTTTTTGTTTGTTTCTCAGTCATGTAAGATATGAAGAAAACGTTTAAGCTGCTAGTTTAGATAAACCTCGAGTAAGAAATTCTGGCTTTATTACTGAGGCCTGTTGTTGTCTCCCATTTATGTTTTGTTCCAGTAATAGGGCACTGTTGGGACCTCAATCTCTGGGATTTCGCATCTGCTCTGTGCTGTGCGTGTTGATGAGATGGGGTCTAGGTGTTTGGTGGGGGTAGGCAGCCTTACCCCCAGTCTGAGTGGCTCTTAGGACAGGACAGCTTCTCCTGGAGCAGCATGGCCTGTGCTTCTGGGAGACTTTCCCAATTAGTTAATTCCTAGTCACCGGTTTTTCCACCCGAGACTAGAAGAATCACATATTTGTGGTCCATATAAGGCACTTTTTTGGGGGCGGAGGGCCGGGGGCACGTTTTGGAGTGTTCTTTGGGGCTTTTTGTTGGTTGGTTGTTTTGTTTGTTTTTTTTGGGATTTGTTTTGCGATGCTTGTTTGTTTGGGTTTTTGTTGGTTTTTTTTTTTTTGGGGGGGGGGCGGCGTGTGTGTGCGTGACTTGTTTGTTTTTCCCTTTCCCTAAGTACAAGGGTTACCGGCAGAGTCCCCTCAGCGCCGGGCTGTCCCTGTGCCCGGTTATCCCCTGATTACACCAGCACAACGCCCCCGCCGTGAAGGTGCCTCTGAGCGACCTCCCCCTGGCACAAACGCGGCCGGTGCCGCTCGGCCCGCGCTCGGCGGCGCGGCGTTGCCATGGCGGTGACCGGGGCGGGCCGGGCGCTGTGCTCCGTGGGACGCTGTTTCCCGGGTCGCTCTGTGGGCACTGCGGTTGCCGGGGCTCTGCGCTCGCCGAGCTCCCCGGGCGCTGTGGCCGCCGGGCCGCGGGGGGCGCGGGCCGCGCTCTCCCGGGTGCCGCGGGCGCCGCCCCGCGCGCAGGCGCCGGCCCGGGCGGGCCGGGTTGTTTGTGACGGCGTCAGCGGCGGCCGCGGCCCCTCGTCCGTGCCGGGCCCCGCGGGGGCCGCGCTCAGGTAGGCGGCGGGTCCGGCCCGCGGGGGCGGCCGCGAGGAGCTCCGAGGGGCTGCCGTGGGCAGGGGCTGCCCGGAGCGGGGCACAGCCCGGGGCGCCGGGGCCGGGGCAGCCGTTGGTGCTGCGGGGAGCGGGTGAGCGGGGCCGTGCGGGGCGGCCGCGCTGCTGTGCGGGGCCGGGCGGGGGTCACTGCGCGGGGGTCACCGCCGTGCTGGCCCCGGCCCCTGCCCTGGGCGCTGGCGTTCGCCAACTTCCTTCCCTCTCATCCTGAGCCGCTGCCGCCCCGGCTGATGCAAGGTGCTGTGTTTCAAAAACACCGGCGCTGTGTCTTTAACCGCGCTGGCCCCGCGCCGCGCTCTGGTTCAGGTGCAACAGGAGCACCTGTGCGAGAGCAGCGGTGGGGACTGAGCAGGGAATGTCCGGCGCTGGCGTGGCCTGGCTTTCAGAAGCCACATTGGTCTTGCTGAAAATCATAGCCTGTATGGGTTGCTAAATATATTCCTAGAGAAGAATGTTACTGTGGGGAAAAAAAAATTGCCACTTAGCAGAAATAATAAACTTGCAGGAGAACCTTGAAGAGTAATGCCTCTAAACCTGGTTTTATTTCTGTTGTGTAACAAAGAAGCTATTGTGGAAGAGAACTGTGAGTTTTTACTTGCAGTGACAGCACAGCAAACTCCACAGAACACATTCACATTCCTGTTGGTGCCTGTTACTCATCTTTGTCAATGCTTATTGAAGGTTGTTTTTTTTTTCATCTAGGAAATCCTCTTTTTAAAAATGCTAGAACTTAAGGGTTTGTTTGGATTGGAGTGGTTATTCTTTCTGAGTCTGGTATTTATTCTGCTTCACAGTGGATAAATAGGATGTGGTATCTCATGTTTATTTTTATATAGATAACTGGGATAACTTGTGTTACGTTAGCAACAATACATATGGCTGTAAGCTTTCAGACCTTATGCTTCTGGTTTGCATTTAACTAAGGTTAGGAAAATAGTTCACACTTCTGAATCCCTGCCCCTCCAAATACGATAAAGTTGAACTCTGAATATAATGGATATTTATTTTGACTAGATAGAAATAAAAAAGGTGGTGGCAGTAGTGGCACCGAAGATATCTAGTGAGAATACAAAACCAGTGAAACTGTGTGTTAGGGGTGTGGGTTTTGTTTTTTCTTTTTTTTTCCCTAAGTCTTTCCTTCTGGCTTAGCCTGACCTACAGGAGATGTGTGACACTACTGTATCCTCGAGTTATCCCTGCCGTTATTGGACTGGAACCCATTAATGTCATCTGGATTCGTTAGGAAGTTTGCAGGCTTTATGTCTGTTTAATTCCTTAGTAGCTCAAAGCTACTTTTTCAAAATAACTTGCATTCAGGAAGTGCCAGCCATATCCAGCACCTTTAGGCTGGTAGGAAAAGCATACTGGTTCTTACTGGATCTTTGTCATTTGGTGGAGAATAAGGCTGGTGAAGTTTTTGTGAGTGGATCAGTTTAGCCATTTGGTCCATATTGGTCTTCTGTATTTCAATTTACTTAAGGGACCGGATTTGACCTCAGATTTAGTTATGGCTATGTTTGATTTAGTTATGACTATGTGTGTTATTAACCTCTTACAGAAATAAGAGGTTTAGCTGATGATTGAAGTTCAGGAACACCATACCTAGGTAATTTTTTTATTAAAGTTTTTTAGGCTGTTTTCATGTTTTAGAGCTAACTAATTATTAAAATGCCTTACTTTTGATAACTGTTTTACACATGTATGTTTAGTGAATGTACTTGTAGGAATGCATTGACCCTAAAGCTGCCCTTCAGTCTGATGCCAAGCTATCTATGTATCATCGTTTGGCTAAATTTAGCAATTCGACCCACAAACCTCAGTGTTTTTGTAATTATTCCGTTTTTATTCCATTATTTTTCTTGATACTAAAAACTTTTCTATTTTGGAGGCTGATCACCTGTATGCAGTTACACACTATTAGTATAATATTCTGGTTGAATACAAGATAAATAACTTTTAACTCAAAGTCATGTATCAAAGTGAGCAAGTAATAGAAAATGATGATTGTCTGCTTCTCTGCTTTTTTATAATATTTTTTGATGATGTCAGTACCCACACAGTTAGGTCCTGAAACTTATGTTTGGGAAGGGAAGATGGATGTTTACATGTGTGTTCAGTAGAACTGAGTTTATGCAGTGCTCAGTTACCTGCCAGTCTGTGCTGTGGATGGGGAGGGAGGGCAGGATGGCATTTGTGTTAACTTAGCCAGGGCCCAGGAGGAAATGCTGCAGTAGCTGGAGGAAGACAGATGTTACAAAGTCCAGCACAGAATCTGCTGTTAAAATCTGCCCTTTCAACATCTGCAGATGCACTTGTATCAGAAACTGTACTGGTGACCTGAAGTTATCCTTTAAGAGTTCTCTTCACTTTTTGCAGCATAGCCAGTGATGTTTCTGACAGGTGATGAGTTCTGGGGCTGGTAATTACCTTCCTCTGAAAGGAATGCTGCTGCTGCTGGATGCCTGGTCAAATTGACAATAATTAATGACAGCAAGCAGATGTCATTGTCACTCTGGAACACAGTCTTTGCCACTTGGGCATTTGTTATTTTCAAGATTGAAGAAGTATGATTTTTAAATAGATCACGATTAAAAAAAAAATTTTGATCATTATATGCTGTATGACAGGAAAAAACCCAAACCAAAATACATCCCCCCTACTTCCCCCTCCCAAACCTAACATTCCCTAATTGAGATTCCAGGAAAAGCACTAATGAAGGAAGAAAAAGCTCTACAGGAAAATGACAATCATATTCAATCTAGGGCTTTATAAAAAAAATAGAAATTCAGTTTCTCTGTAAGTTTGATACCTAAGTTGATTATTAGTGAATATATTTGCCTTATAAACTGTGGTTGTTATGGTCATCACTGCCTTTTTTACAGAGGTACTGTAGGTATGTTAATTGAAGTTAATGAGAAAAAAGCATTATCTTAGAAAAACATACAATAACGACCATAATGCAGAGATAGGAGACAGATGTTTACTGTATTTTGTAAGAAGGCTAAATGGAATTGAAAGTTTTGTATTTTGTTGTGCCAGTTTCTGGCCATACTGGCGTATGTTCTCATTCTAGGTTTGTGTATATTTTTGGTGTTAACAAACTGGGAGTAAAGATGGAGAATAAAATAGAGTTAATTAATTTAAACACGTAGGTGCTTTTCTCTGTGTTCATACTGGAAGTAATTAGATGTGGGAAATAAAGCAGGTGTCTGAAATTCTCCAAAGTTTTATTGAACCATGATTTCTTTTACTGTTTTATTACATTGATGTACAATGAAACAGGCAATTGATTGGAAATTGCTCAGTTTTGGGAAGATTTTCACCAAGATGAATCTATAATGAATTTTATTTAACAATTTGATATATTTTTATTTCAAGGAACAAGAAATGCATTAAAGTTCTTTTTAAAGTCATTTTGCTAGTTGAGGACCTCAGAAATTGATCTGAATATGCAGCAATCATGAATATTCTGTATTCCTGGTAAATTCCTGGTAAAAAGGGGAAAAAATAAGCAGGGAGCTGCAGCTGGACAGCTTTCTTCTGAAAATAACTCCCAAAGTCCCAGTAGTATTGTAACAACTAAAATTTGTACTTCAGGTTATTTTCATGCTGGTTTTGTACTCACCAGGTACTCTCTTAATTTTCCTCAGAATCAGTGCATTTTAGAGCACTTGGAAGGAGTGAAAGAAACATAAAACATTGCTTTTGCCCAGTAGTTGGAGAGAATTAGTCTCAGAAGATCCTGATTTGTGTATTCTCAAAAAACCCACAGTGTTTTTCTTGAATAAACTGTAGTTCCTGTGCATGTAACAATCCAGAAATTATTTCCCATACCGAATCATCTCTAAAACAATGATACTACAGACAAATTTTAACTTCGATTTTGATTTATTGACTACCTTTGCGTGTATGTGTTTGCTTTGTGTGTCTTGTGTATTAAAAGAATCTACTTTTACTTGCAGTGTGTTTTGAAAATGTCTGAAAATTCCAGTGACAGTGATTCCTCCTGCGGCTGGACTGTCATCAATCATGAGGTACCGGTTTCAAATTAGTAAAGTTCTCTCAGTTTCAAAAGCACAAGAGAGCTGGTCTGAGGCTTATAAATGTTGGGCCTTGGTTCCATTTCTGTTGGTAGCAAGCTGGTATTTAAGAGGAGGTTAAAACTTCTTTTCCTTGTTTTGGGCTGGATGGACAAGTTGGAATCCTGTCACCAGAAGAAACAGAAAACTCCTGCACACCAAACAGGATAAAGGAGAGCACAGGCTGCTGGACTCTGCTCAGATAAAAGGGAAAGGGTTTACAAATTGACTACAGCAGTTGGATTACTCAGCTCTGAGTTGCAGGCTTTGTTTTCATTCTTGGGATGGTTATTTTACACTGTAACCGCAAGTGAATTATGCAGTCTAAATGAGTTAACATAACACAAGGTTATGGGATGGCAGGGGTTTGTCCAACCAAAGCAGAACAGATTTCTGTTCCTGGTTATTCTTTTCTGGTTCAAGGTAATAAGAATGGGGAAGTACTGGTGTTTGGGAGCTGCCATTATCAGCATTCTCCTGGTAAGACCCCTTTGAATCTTGGATGTGAAGGAGGTAGAATGGATGAGATGGGTGGGTACCTTCACACAGGTGTTACCCAGGAAGGGGGTGATGTGGACTTCTGTATGCTTCAGTGAAGTGGTTTGGATATTTAGGAAAGAGATAGAGCTGTGGACTACTGTAGTGTTAATTTCTCACATATCATTGCGACCTGTGTTGGTGATGACACAGTGGAATCCGTTTCTGGATTTGTTTTGCACTGAGTTAAGAGAGGCAAGAAATGGCCATTGTCCAGATTGTGACTGCAGAGAACTGACAGCTGTGTGTGCTGAACTGAGTGTCTGCTTTGGACAGAGAGGCAGAGCTGTGTATTGTTGGACTACTCCTGAGAAAGGACTTGCTAATTTTGTGTAGGAGGGTAGTGAGGTGATAATATCTTTTCTTGACCTCTTTGCTGTTACTGAAATGGAAGGGTGATGGAGGTCTAGCAACAGATACAGTGAATCAGAGTTCATGCATTCACACCAGCCTGCGTGTTTTAAAGAAAAGGCTACCTTACCCTATACTCAGGTAGCCCAGTTTCTTGGAATTTTAGCTAAAATTATAATCTGTTTTAAGCACTATTCCTAATGTCTGCCTTGTTGTAGAACCTGGGCAGACTGAATTTTTGTTATTATTTTCTTTATTCACAATTTAAGAAATGAAAGTAACGGTTCTTTCACACCAGAGATCAGTTGTCACATAGTAAATCTATATACCTATCAATAAATCCCAGCCAAGCCAAAACCCCCAAATTAGTTTGTATTTTCTTTCCTGAGATTTCTCTCAGATTTTAGTAAGTTACTTATAATTGAGTTGTGAATTTCTGCAAAATTTTTGAGATTAAAACTGTGACACTTCTACAGACAAAAAGAAGAAAGATATAAAGCTTTAGACATTTTTCTGAAACAGGTAGTTTTTGAAGCCATTTACAAAGGAGCATACATTCTGCAATCACATTACAAAGTTATCTTATGCAATTCTTTTTGAGGTATCTAATCTTTGTGAAGTACAGTCTCCTCTTAAAAATGAAAGCATACGTGTTTGCTTGAGTCCCTGAAATGAGACATCCAGGCAAACTGATCTGGAAGTATTACTACTACTGTAATTTCACACTTGCTGTTGCAAAAATAACTTATCTCTGTTTACAAAAACAGCTCAAGTTATTTATGGATCACAGTGACTTAGTATTTTTCAGTTATGTTTTGCATGTTTGTAGTTTTCTAGAACCTTACTTGTGTTCCATCAGTTCCTTTAAAAAAAATTACAGTATAAAGATTAAATATTTGGAATTGTCAAGCATGTTGTTTGCCTTTAGTGCCCTGGTCTCCTAGCATTGTTAATCTTCAGTTCCTGTTGTGCTCAGAGGGTGTTGCTGACTGGCAGCTGACTAATAACTAAGACTCCTTTCTGGATTAAAGACAGAAATCTAATTTAGAGTTTGTATAAGTATTTGTTTTCCTTGTGTCAAAGATGTACTATTAAAGCAGCTATTCAAATTTGCTGACAGGAACCAAGATGGAGGAAAGTTATACATAGTTTTTCCTGGTAATAGCATTTATTAATGTTCATGGTGGTACTCTTGAAAGTTCCATTTTGGGGAGGTGATGTGTACTTACATAAAATACATGGACATGTGTGCAAGAATTAGATCCCATATTCAGAACCTTCCCTGTTTCTCTAAATTCCATTTAATGAACAGGTCTAATAAAGGTAATAAAAATAGTTATTTAAAATACTTAGCATAGTTATTAATTGATGCCTTAATTGCTGTCCTTTTTCCCCCTAGAATTGTCCTCCTCTGACTTTTTTCAGCCTTGGTCATGAGTATTACACACTAACAGTTGTTTTCCTCTAGTTAATGACTTGGTGTTTCACTTGCTTTTTTTTTGCTCAAAATTTTCTTCAGTTTTAAAGGTTATTGTTCTTCTGTTTTTATTATTAATGTTCTGTTTTCTCTGTAACCTTTTTCTCCTGCTTTAGTGTTGGAAACCCCAGTAACTGTAATGTCCATTTAAACTCTTCACCTTCAGGGTTCTGACATAGAGACAGTGACTTCAGAAAATGGAAGCACAAATGATAATCATGAGTTTGTTTCAGAAGAATATGTTTCTTTGCAAGAAGAGGAGCAAGCAGTTGATTTGCAAGGTAAGATATTAAAAAAGGAACCATTTCATGAAATAGATAAGTATCTATTATAGCATTGGCACAAAATTAGAAACTCACAGTTTCTATACTTTGCAGACCTCTGTCAAAGTACTTGCTTCATCAGTGTCATGGAAAATATTCAATCATCACCTTATAAAAGTATCTTTTATTGAAATAGATGAATGTCTTTCATTTTGTCAATACTTTGGATGTGTTATAGAATAGTGTGCACTGATGCTGTTGGAAAATAGTTTATGGAAGTGTTATTGATAAAAGAAGTATTCCTTAATAATGTCATAGATCAAATAAGAATAAATTGGAAGGAACAGTCAATCCTTGTACTGCTAAAAAATAACATTGTGACACTGTGTTAGTATTTCTTGAGTTGGAAGTGCAAGTCTGGTGCATATTAATATAATGAAAATCCTTCCACTTATTTTAATTACTAAATTTAATACTACTGCTGTGTTATTGCTCTAAGACTATTGCTGTGAGAACACAGACATGACAGGTTCAGTGTGCAGTTGACTAAATTTGGCTTTGTTTCCAAATTCCTAACGTCTCCATGTAGAAACAGGATTAGACACAGAAACTCCAATGAATATCTGGAAAATACTTGAATTACCCCCGCATGTCTTTTTTTCTACCTGTTCTTTTCATTTTACTTGCATTATGATCAGTATGAGAATTTGGATTTAAGTGTCCTGGATTCTGATATTTATGGAAGTATGATAAAAACAAGATTTAGTGCCTCTGATACAAGCACATAATAGAAATATGTCACAATTATATCTATTTTATGGGGTGTGGGCATAATTTGGGGTTACTGGTTTTAATTTCATGTTTGTTTGCTTGTGTTTTTTTTCCTCTTTTTATTTATATAGCTCAGTGCAGCAATGATGAAGAGATACCAGTGGTAGATAACACTGTGTCTGGATTTGAGGAAACTCAGACAGTTCCAGAGGTAAAGTACATTCTGTCATTCAGAAGCTTCTCTAAGCCCCATCTGACAACGGCAAGAAATGTTTTGAAGGCATTAAAATTAAGATACAGATTTTTCCTTTCTTAAAGCTTTAACAAATCTCTTTTTTTTTTTAAAATTACCTTATATTGTATATACCTGAGTAATTTTCACATTGTCCCTTTCCTCAGGAAAAGAAACAAAAAATTCCTGACGATGGGTCCTGCGTTGGAACTATTAGCGATGATTCTGACATTGTTACACTTGAAGCTCCAAAGCCAGAAGAAACTCAGAGTCAGGAGGAAGCTCCAGCAGATGGTGAAGAAGCTCAGAGTTCAGAGGATTTTAACATGGGTTCCTCGTCTAGCAGTCAATATGCATTTTCCCATGTAGAAACTGGTAAGAGCAGGAAATCACTAAGCAACTGTGTGCGAAAATATCACCAAAAAAAGACCCCAAACCAGTCTTTGCTTAGGGAACCTTCTTTGTGTGGAGAGGGGGAAAAAATAGTGTCCAAGTATTTGGAGTCTCTAGAAAAACTTCAGGTGCCCTCACACTAAAATTTTGTTTGAATGTATGTCTGCAACCTTTTTCTTTGAAGGTGATCTGTCCCATTAAGCATTCACTATTTTAAGTAGAAAGTAAATTTGTAGCATATCTTGAAGAAGTAAAATTCTCCTGGCAATTTTTTTGGCTTTTATAGAGTTGGCCTAAATGAAGAGCAACTGGGAGAGAAATGATTTTTGGTGCCATGAGGACTAATAGCAGCATGACTACAAAAATTTACCTTCATAGCTACATAGAATATATATATATATATATAAAGATTTTCTCAGTACTTGGTTGGAATAATAATCATATTCAGGAGGAGTGATATGAATATTGGTTCAATTAAAAACAAACAAACTTCTAAAAGAACAAAAAAACCTCTTACTGTTGTGTTGCTCTTCTCTAGTTCTGCAGTTTTCCTCTATGATTCTTTTTGGCTGCTTGCTTGTGGTCTTTTCTGTTCCCTTTATGCTCTGTAGCAGTTTTGTATTGCTGATTCTTACTCCAAATTAAGTTTATTTCAAGAGCAGGATTTTACTTAAAATACTGTTTTATCTTAGAAATAGGATGCAGCATCCTTAAATGTTTATATATCTGTTTAGTATCCACTGGAAACAGAAAATGACAGCATCTAGTTATAACCAGTGATGATTCGTAACAAAGCAGTTGCCTTCTTTGTCTTCTGGATGACTCGACTTAATTTCTAATTTAAAATTTAGTTGACTTTCTTTTTTTCTTTTAGGATGAGTTCTAAAAATGCCTTTTTTTTCCCCTCTATGTTTTTGTACACTAAAGTCAGTTGGCTGGAGAAGCTGAGGAAGATTCCTGATTGTGTAAGGGGATGGGGAAATGAGGTGAAAGAGCATGTGTCTCGCAGTCTTCCTTTCCAAGGTGGTGTGATTAAATTTGATCAGCTTGTGTAAAGCTGATTGCTTATGGCTTGCATGGAGTGTTCTTACAATTTTCAGTAGCAATCTGACTTGATCTTATAGTACTGATATTCCAGAGAGATGCTGAAAGCCAGTCCTCACTGGAGAATTGGCTAAGCTGTCAGTGCTTTATTTGGTGTTCAAAAAACCCGTTAATCTTGCATGGAGATTTGGAACAGACATCAGTGAGGTTTGTACTACGTTTTAATGTATGTATGTATGTGCTTGACTGTTTAAATGAATGGTTCCTGTTGGATTCCAAATCAGTGTGTGACTGGCAAAAATAATTTCTTCCTTCTAACTTAAGCTGATTTCAGCATGGTGTCTAGTGCTGCTCAGTCAATTGATCAAGTATTGCAGAAAATATCTGGAATACTTTTGCAATTATTTTAAATGCCAAAGTTTTAGCAGTTGACATTTTCATGGTACTTTTTGGCAATGGAAATCTTTGCTATCCACTTCCTGTTGGGTTTTCTATTGTGTTGGAAAAACTTCAGATTTTTTCTAATGTAGATACTAAAATGTTCTGCAAGGATTTTCTGCCACCTTTATTTGCAAACCAGTTCCTGTTTAGACTGTCTTCACCATGCAGACAGAAATGTTTTAATACTGCTTCGTGAATGATGTTAAACGAGCAGAAGTGCTCATATGCTGCAGTGAATTGTGTCTGGGCTTGAGTCGTGTCTTGCAGAAATGTCAAGGAGAATCACATTCTTAAACTGATGTTACTTCACCTGGTTTCTGGTGTAGATCTGACACTTAGTAGCAGCTAGAATTTTGGACTGCTATTGCAGTTACTCTTTGTTTCATCTGTAGTCCTTTCCATCCTGGGATTGTCAGAGTACAGCTTTGTACTGAGTCCTTACAGCAGCTGTAAGGCAGGGTCATGCTGGTCTAAAAGTGTAATTGCTGTTGACAACTTGCCAGTAAATGCTTATGAATGGCTCTAAGTGTCTTACAGCATTTTGCTTTCTGATTGTCTTTTTTTTTTTTCCCTTTTCTATTCTTTGCTGTCCAGTGTATATCAAAGATTTTCTCATTTGTCTAGAAGCAGCTTGTTGCTTAAACCACTCTTGTACTCCTTGTGTTTAAGTTTCTTTGGTTTTTGAAAACCCCCAAGAAACCCCACAGATAAGCAATAGTAACACCTGTCTTACTGAGTCTGTCCTCTATATTCCTCTGTAATGTCTGACCTCTGCATTCTAGTAATGCATTCTGAATGCTTGTCTTTATTTTCCAGGACTGGGGAAGTGTGCATCTGCTTAAATGACTGATTTTAAAATAGTGTCCTTCTGTACCAAGCTATATAAATTCATTTAAGAGTCTGGATATCTAAGTCGCTGTTTAAGTGATTTGTCTTTATTGCAAAGTCTGCTTGGTTGGTTTGGCTTGACTAATTGACTAAAATGGATTTTTTTAGGAAGGGGGAAAGCTGTCTTCCATTATCTGGCATGTTGCTTGTCCGTGGACTCATAAATTAGACATGTATTCCATATACTAGTTGGTAATCTTTTCTGTGCTTGATGTAATCACTTCTATCAAGTTGTAATTTATTTTAAGTGAAGAATCTTAAGTGGTAATGCTTTTTTATAGGTGATAGCTAGCACTGCTTGGCATTCTTGTCTGTTCAGTGATGTGTGCATGGCTTTGCTCAAACAAATGATTTCTCAGTTGAGAACTGTTCAAGGACAGTAACTCTGTACTTATATTTTTACATTTTGAGTGATGATCTCTGATATAAGAATGAACAACCATATTTCTAGAAGGGACATTAGTACTGTGTGATTGTGAGCAGCAAATTTAGTGTCCGAGCAGGAGCACTTTGTCATGTGCTGGAGGCTCCATTGATCAATCCCATTGAATCCATTTCAGGCATGTAAATGAGGTACAGCAATGGAGATACTTGAAAGCTACATTTTTAATATACTACTGCTTCCCCTTACACTTGAAAGTTATGCTTTTAAAGGAGGGAGATTAAATAATAATTACTTATGCACTGGATTATTTGAATTTATTTACAGTATATGCAGCAAACACTTGTACCACTAATGGGAACAAGCAATTACAGCTCAGTTGTTACTTTCCTGGTTAGAATATATGGCTTTTGGACCACAGACACATGAACATACAAATGGTATCATAAATTTTACAAAAATGCTATAAATGATATTTTTTAGGGTTAGAATTTGTTCTTATCTCAGATCTTGACCAGTTCAATTTACCAAAACATCAGTCAGGTAATACAAGTGTTTTGGATTAGGAGTGTTGGGGAAGGACAAACAGAAAAGCACCTGAGCAGTTATTTTCCTGTGCAGCAGTGGTTGAAAATGGCTTTTTTGAAAGGCAGGTAAAGATGTTAATAGGTAGTATATGGCAGACATTAAAAGTAAACAAAATTGTGTATTTAAATAAATTTGTATATTGACATTGAATATTTCTAATAGCCACATTAATAGAATTTTAGTGGAATTTTGTCTGCAGCTGCATGTAGGTCACAGAATGAAGTTTTTTGAGAGAATATAATAAAACCATGTTTGTCTTCTAGGAGGCTTTCTTTTAGCAAGCCTTATGTTGCTCTTTTATTATTAAATAGTTCAGTCTTCATAGCTGCAAGAGAAGGAAAGCTGAATTCCTAACCTTTCTACTTCAGAAGAATTTGAAGAGGCAATACATGTAGATGCTTTAAGAGGCAGAATTGTCTGAAAGAAACACTTTCTAATGATTTAGTGGTAAGATTTGTGGAAGTGCTGTACAGCTTTTTACTGATGTTTTCTTGATTCTCTATCATTTCCTTTAAAAAAAATAATTTTTAACTTTGGAGATGATGCAGTCTGTTCATAACATCAAGCACAAACTATAACACTGAGAATTTTAATTTTGTTTTATTTACGTTCTCTAAGATAAATGCCAAATACATTCTGCATAAACCTGATGGATCTTGATGCTCAGATCGGTTTTTAAAGCTACAATTAATGCATTTTAAATACTGTTCTCTGCTGTTTTTCAGTTTTTCCATCTCAGGCCAGCAGTGAGGAATCCAGTAGTGACGAGACCAGCAGCCAGTCCAGCCCGGCCGTGCGGAAGCGCCGCCCTCGGAAGAGGTTGGTGTCCAGCTCCGAGGCCGAGGGCGCGTCCCCGGCTGAGCCGGAGGCTGAGCCCCCCAGGGAGGAGCAGCACCAGCGCCAGTTCAGCAGTGGCCTTAACAGATGCATCGTCCTGGCCTTGGTGATTGCAATCAGCATGGGCTTTGGGCACTTCTATGGTGAGTTCCCAGCAAACAAAATACACAGAATCAACCTGTTGCATTTTATTGTGGCTCTGATATCTTTTCTCGTTCTCTGCTAACAACCTAAACCTAAAAATGAGAGAAAGCAACTGTTAATGAATTGGTAATACAGGGAGGTCCTTCAGTGGTGCAACTGTGTTTAATATAAACTACTTCAAAATTAAAGTAACTAAATAGAAATTACATCTTGCTTGCCCTTCCAGATAGAAATTTCTTGTTGTTCTCGTAATGCAGTGTGTACCCTTCATTTTCCACTTATGTTCTTTTGGAATAAACTTGTGGTAATGCTTAACATTCCTAACAGCATTCAGAGTCATTTCAGGCTTTTGTCCCATATGTACTTGTCTGGTAAATGTAAGAGCAAGTCATATTTTTCACAGGAGTTTGTAGCATCAATATTTTTCTCTGAGAAAAATGTGCTGTGTTTGTCCTTGCAATTCCAGAGTCATTTAGGGAATCCAGGATAGCAGCAATTTTTCTGTGTTCAGTGGCTTGCCTAAAGTTAAACACTACATAAGTTGTTACTGCATGTAACAAAGCAGCAGAACTCATTCCATATGCGAATCTACCTAGTGCTTTCCTGATTTTCTAAGATGCATGTGTTATGATAAAAGTGAGGGAGGACATGGCATTCAGTTGGAGGCTGGGAATATGATTCCCATTGGATTTGGTTTTGACTGATTTTTAGGCATCTGAGTTTTGATACTTATTTTGAGATTTATACTAATTTTCGCTTGACCAATTTTTTTATTCTTAGGTAAACCTGAAGGTAAGAGCCATGAATGACTATTTTGGATGCTGTGCTTGCATTCAGATTAACTTTTTAAATTGTATGTATGTGTACACACACATCCATATATGTATGCATATTTACATTAAAAAAAATAAAATGATAAATCAAGTCTCAAGAATTGCTAGTATATGTGAGATTATAGGAATGACTAATCCAGTAATGTAAAACACTTTTTATGTAGCACTTGCAGCAGGTAGTAGTAATTAGTGCAAAAACTGATTGATGTGTGTTGGCATGTTGGAAGCATAGAGGAGCACAATGACTAGACCAGTCTGTGGTAGTGCTTGGTGGTGGTAACTTGAGATTTCAGTTCTGTTAATCACTTCACACTGTATTTAAATTAGTGTTAATGATAAATACTATCCTGTTAAAGAACTTTGGATGGATGAGAAGTACATTTTGAACATGAACTCAAGGTCATATCTTTATTAAGGAATTCACTTGTTCATTAATTGAATCTGTACTTCAGAATAAAAGTTGTCATCACTGATGACAGTGATTGCAGCATTTTGAGCAGAAAGAAAGTAACTGTGTGGCTTTAGTTTTTGCTTCAAGTTAAAGTTCTCCATGGTTATGTGATAATTGATCTTTCTACCACTAGAAAGGAAATCACATCCTACTTTCCATCTTCCTGTGCTCTAGGTTTTTTCTAAACACAGACTTGCAAAGAGAAATCCATCTCCCTAGGAATGGATCCATCTCCCTACTTTGCATTTTCATGATTTGGCTTGGAATGAATGTTTTCCTCATCAGTCTCGTAACATTAGGGTGATTGTCATGGAAGAGGGTTGGAAAGGGTTACTTTTTATGAAATTGCTTCTCTTTTTTTGGGTAGATATCAAGATAGTGTTTTCCCTTTAGCTCAAGATCTAGGACCCCTTTAAGACTTTGAGATGTAGAAAGCAACTAGGATTAGATCTTAATCAGTAACTTTATCCTAATCAGTATTAAACTGAGTTAACTGGCTTTATCATGCTCTAGGAAAGAGGTCTGAAAGAGGGCAAGCTTTCCAGGTAAAGCTACAGTTAAGTAGGAAGTCCTTGCCAGAAAAATGTCTCCTTGTGGACATTCAGATATTAAATATTTTTCTTTCACCAGAATCTGCAAAGGGGGCTATGGCTCTAATGCAAGGGATTTGGATAGATTACTTAAAGAATCTGAAGGATACTGTGACTCAGAGTACCAGCTGGAAACACAAACCAATTACTGAGGAATGGCACCTCATTATGTTCATTTTCAGTGTTGCTAAATGTCATTTTTGCTTACTGTATCTAAATTATGATTTTTGATGAGGAGAGAAAAAGAGCTTTAAGTGTTTTTCTGTAATTCAGGTTCCTCTTAGCATGAACCCTCTACACTAAATGATGATTTTTCAGATGCAGTCTTCAGATTGTTAGGATCAATGGAATTCTTCAAAAGTACCTGTCAAACATAAAAATTAAAACCAGAGTTACTGTCAGTATTTTTAAATTAACCTGTGGAAGGATATATGCTTCCAAAAAGTATTTGCTAGGACTCTGCAAACTTAAAATCATTTCTGCAAAAACATTGCTTCCCCTTAGCTGAATTAAACTATTGAAGTTCAACTTGGTTTAATAGACCACTGTCTGTTCTCAAGGTCACACTTGACAGTAGGTTAAATTAAAATTAAGAGAGCACAACATGCTTCAATGTAATAGTATTTATAGTATTTTTTCTGTTTAACAATACATCTCCCCCTGCCTTTAAATACAGAAATGCAACTCTGCACATGCTGCATTGGTTTTGAATGAAATACCTAAAAATTGCTGTTGCCTTCTGCTCTAGACTCAATTCAAGACACTCTTAAAAGCATATAAATAAAAACTACAGCAGTGTGAGGATTTAGGGAACACATGCATAGGTGGGGAAGTACCAGTCAAGAAGTTGTCCTTGACAAAAAAAAAAGTGGTGTCTAGTACAGCGAAGATATTTTTTCTGAAAACCAGTGTCTCAGCCTTTGTCTGACAAGTGAAAAACAGGATATTTGCTTACTCTTGAGCCTTTGCTCATGGATAAGGATGACAAGGCAGGGCCTGCAGTACTTGTTGCTTTGTGAGCAGTGTGCCATAGTTGTGTTTCTGCATGAAAGTTTAAATACTGTGCTAATACTGTCTTATTCATGTAAGTTTACTTAACAGTCAGAGTTGTTGTTCTGAAGTGGATAATGCATGGATCAGTGGTCTTCCTTTTATCCTGGTTGACTTGCATGTTACTAAAAAAATTACAAAGAAGTCACACATGTTCTTTCCTGCACAACTTCTGTTGTTTTGGATCTAGCTTGTTTCTGTGTAGTGTTCCAAAATTCCTTTATTTGTCATCGAATAAAAAACAGTGTAGTAACTAATTTTTTGATCTGAGAAATTGTTTATTATTGGAAGAAACAGAGTTGGTATGTAACAATGTGGTTTTATAATCTTTATTTTGTTACAGCTAACCAGTTACTAGTAAGTACTGGGCAGAAATGGTAAGGTAAGAATGCTTCTGAATTTGCAGAGAGAATGAAGAGGATGTTTAGGTTCCTCTGTTCCTCTGACTACTTACTCTGAGTCAGTCTATCAAAGGAAAGTTTTTTATCTTTGTAGGTACAGTTCAGATCCAGAAACGGCAGCAGCTGGTGACAAAGACACGTGAATTCAAAGATATGAAAGATGACCTTTACCAGTGCCAACAAGAGCAAGGAGATCAAGTGCACCACAAAGTGGGGGTAGGTTTGAGCTTAGCTGGAAGTCATTGCATTATTCTGTCATTATGTCTGTATTTTACACAGTGAAATTAATTTATCACACAAATCCATTGAATTTTTGTCTTTAGTAAATTCTTTCTGAGAACATAGTTTTTCTTTCTCTTGAATTCTTGAAAGAGATTTATGTTGATCAAATTTGTTTAAACATACTGTGTTTTATGTAGTCTAGGAGTTATCTGGACACAGGGACTGTCTCTTTTCCTGGGACATAATGCCAGATTGTCATTAATAAAGACAGCAGAAGTAGAACATGCTGCTGAAAACCTGTTATAGGCTGAACCTACAGGTTTTGTGAATTTGCTTTCTAAATTATCAATGATTATTAATTTTTTAAATACTTTACTTGTACTTTTGGTTTTTTACTGTTACCTCAGTCACAGAGATTAGGGAGTGCTTTGTGTATGTGTGTTATCTTTTTTTTTTTTTTAAGTTTTCTTTTATGTGGCTGTAAACAGCATTTATACATAATTCAGTATGTTCTAGAGCTTGTCACTGGTGCCAACAGACTGGGGAGATCCTTTTGTGTTAAAATATAGTTACATGAACATGTATTTTCAGCCACTAATTTGGTTCAAAACCAGTGCATGAAGTTCTGCCCCAATTGTTGAATGCCCATACTTCTAATTTATTTGGATTTTGTAATCTGTAAATCCAGTTTGCTGAAAATAAATCAGCAGCAAACATGCACATCTTGAATTCCTTTTAAGATGTTACAGTTCATGTACCCAACTGACTATCCTTCAGCCAGTTAAACCACTACAAGCAGGGGTGATGACCTCTGGTTGGAAGAGGGAGTCTCTCACATGGTCTTTGTTGCCAAGAAAGTGTTTGTGTGATAAACAAACTGAGCTGAGATAAACAAACCAGCTCTATTTTTGCATCCTGCTGTGATATGTTTCACTGCATCCAAAATGACAAGTAAACTCTGTTTGGGCTACCATGGTTTTTCATCTTTCTAGCTAAAATTGTAACAATTCTCACTGTAGTATTTTTGCTTTTTTTCTTTTTGTTTCTTGTAGTCACTCAAGGGAGATCTTGCCACATGTTTGACCTTTAATGAGGTGGAGAAGAAATCCTTCGATTCTCAAAAAAAAAGCCTTGCTGCAGAAAATCAGCACTTAAGAGAATCTCTAGAGAAGGAAGAAAAAGCTTTGGCCTCACTTCAGGAAGAATTAAGGAAGCTAAGACAACAAATTAGAAACTTAGAAGATAAAGGCACTAGCACTGAATCTATTGTAATGGAAAATCAGAAACTAAGGGAACATTTGGAAGAGGAAAAGCAAAGAAACAACAATTTTCTCAGGCAAAAGGAAACTCTCTTTGCAGAGGCACAGATGTTAAGGCGAGAACTGGACAAAGAACGTCATGTTACAGAAGCTCTGAAAAAAGAACTGGAACAGTTAAGTTCTCGTCAAACACCTGACAGTGCTAATGATGATGATGATGATGATACATTAAGAGAAAATCAGGAAATAGAAACTCTACGAGGAAGACTAATAGAACTAGAGAAAAAGCTGAACTTCGAGCAACAACGCTCTGATTTATGGGAGAAGCTATATGTTGAAGCAAAAGACCAAACTGAAAAACAAGAAATTTTTAATGAAAATGGACAAAAGAAAGGTGCTAAAGGGCAAAGTAAGACTAGAAAGAAATCAAAGGAATCATTTTTTGGTTCAGTTAAAGAAACTTTTGATGCTATGAAAAATTCCACGAAAGAGTTTGTAAGACACCATAAAGAAAAGATTAAGCAGGCTAAAGAAGCAGTGAAAGAAAACTTGAAAAAATTCACTGATTCTGTAAAGTCTACATTCAGACACTTCAAAGACAGCACAAAAAACATCTTTGATGAAAAGAAGACATCAAATGATAAAAGATACGAGGCACACAAGAAAGCTCGAACTTTTTACCGAGACCATAACTCCTACGAGAATCAGAAGCACACACATTACAGGGGACCCAACATGCCAAAAGATTTCAAAAGTGGAAGAAAACATCATTTTACAACATTTGAAAAAGATGCAGATTCTCAGAAATGTCTCAGTGATGACTTGTGTAATAGAAAACACCACTTTGTCCCGAAGGGCTGCTCTGGTATTTTTGAATGTGCTCATCAGGAATTCATTAGTCTCTTTAACAGAGTATCGGATCCTATCAGGGTGGATGAATTTAACCGGCTAATGAAGAAGTATTTGCAACAAGTTGTGCATAACTTTCATCACTGGAGAGAACTAGAAAATTTCATCAATAAGTTTTTTCATAATGGGTTATTTATACATGACCAGATGCTGTTCACTGATTTTGTCAATGATGTCAAGGATTACCTGGAAGATATGAAGGAATACCAGAGTAATAATGAGAAGGTTTTTGAGGATTTGGACAAATACGTCTACAGATACTACTTTCACTATGATAATTCACCCCAGTATGGACCCAGGTGTGTTTCTATGTTTCCTGAACTTGATAACACAATGAATTAGTTTTTGTAAAGACAACCAGTCTCCTTGTTCTATTAGGTGCTCTTCAAGAGGGTAGATAGATAGACATAGACACTAGAAGACTTTCTGAAGGACTCGGTGGAAATACTTAATTGTGTTACATAAAGTGGATCTGTAGTACCTTACATATAAATTTTGTGTGTGTAAATAGCACAATCTAATATTTCTGCTGGGTTCTTTAGAAAACAGTGTAACTGTCAGTAGGATTTCCTTAGACTGAACAGCTCTCATTGCCTGCCTGATGGAATGAATAAGTGTCTTGGAAGGAGCATTAACTAGGACTTTATTGTTGTCCTTCCCTGAATGAGGTTTTTGAATATATTTGAGCAGTCTGAGTCCTGTTCTGACAGGTATATTCCCTGTTGGCTTTTCAGGAATTTCACTACTCTTGTAGCTTAGTATAATACTAAGTTAGTCTGTAGGCCCAGAGCAGAGTTCATCACATAGCAGGCTTTGGTCCAGGTCCTGACCCTGACTAACTTTTGTTCAGGTTTGCTTACAAAGGTCCTTGGCATGAATTGTTTCCTGTGTTAACTTTCTTGTATCTAAAGGTATTCTCAGGGCTTCTACAGGGCACTTGTGGTGTGCAGCCTGGCTGGCCCAAAGCTGATACATGTGGTGGACTGTTAGTACTGCAGACACTTTGGTGAAAGCAAGCTTAGTAAGCAGCCTCAGTATACTGTGTGGAACTTGCCTTTTCTGGACTACTTATTAAAAGCCACATAAAATATATACTTACCATTTGTCTTACAAAATTGGCTATATAGTCCCTTGTGCTAGTGTTTATTCTGATCAGGTAAGAACAAATGCAATGTATAAACTCATTTATAATACATGAGAACTTGTCCTTGTAGCCATAACAGAACCTTTTGTTGTGTTGGTATTTAGTGCAAAGTGTATTAACTATTTAGATCAAGGTGCAGTTCTTCAGTCAGGTTTCTCTTTTGTGCTTGTATTGCTTATTAATTCATGCATTTCATTGCAGCTGAAGTCTGAATTATTAAATACTTTGGGGTTTCTAAATATTACGTGAGGTAGTACTTTCTCCTGTAGAAAGTTGAACCATGAGGATGATAATCCTATTATCAGCTACCAAGTAGCCTTTTTAATACGTAGTTTTGGCAAATGCATATTTGTTATGTTTTTTATTTACAGTCCAAATACATATTCCTAATTTATTATTAAAAAGAACTTTAATTTTTAATTACTTAGTTTTTTGAGAATTTATTTTAGTTTGCAGAAAAACAACTGCAAATTCATTTACTGATAGTATTATACAAAAGTTTGTGTGATGAAAATATTCTTAATTTAACTTTGCAGAAGGCTAGAAACAGTAGTCATATGGTAACAGCCTGTAGGGTAATGGGACTGTTTGCATAAAAAAACTGCAACAGATGAGCAGCAGGGTTTTGCCAGTGCTGTCTCCCTCTGTATAAATGTACTTACTGTACATGAAAACCTCTAAGTGTCCATCTTTACTCAAAGCATCCTTTCCTAAGTGCCTGTAAAGTTTTCCTTATTTCTGTAGAGCAGAGTGTAAGAGAGTAACTGAAAAGTAGATTGAGACCTCACCCAAGCCATCACAGTAGGAATAATCAAATAGGTGTTTACCTGGCTTTATTCTAAAAAGGTCTTTGGGCAACCAACTGCAGAGCATTTTTATTTTTAGAAAGCATTTCTTTTATGTATACTGCTTTATTGGTGATTTAAACAAACAAATCCCTCACACATGCTGCTTACAAGAGAAAGGACTGCTTAGTACTGATTTTGTTTTCAGTCAACCTCTGCATGTTAAAAGCTGCTCTTGACAATGTAATTGTGTTTCAAAATGCTTTTAGATAGATGCTTTCATAAGAGTAGTAATAAGCTTTTGTTTACTCCTTGCAGTCGACCTAAAAGACCTTCTTTTACACAAACTGAAAATTCCAGACATGAAAAACAGGCTCAGAAGTACCATCACCGTAATAAAAGAGAAGGTAAATGGCATAAACATGGTCGCACTAATGGAAGACACATGGCAAACCTTGAAATAGAATTGGGGCAACTACCCTTTGATCCAAAATATTGAGTAATTTATTGTAAAAATAAGATTAGAATTCACATCCTCTCTGGAAACTAATCGTTTTTCAACAAAGCAGCAAGATGCAAGGTTTTTTTTCTGAATAATTTGATTTTTACACATTTTTGTTAACAGGCAGAAGTCAAGCTTTCTAATTTGCATATTCTGTACCGTTGCTTTAACTGTTCTTTGGAAGTGATGATAGTTTGGGTGCCAGCAGTATTGTTGCAGAAACTAGGCATGCAATGACTTGTGTATGAAAAATATGCTTAATTGCATTCCAGTAGCGTAGTTGAAGCTTGAACCATGCATAATGTACCAACTATTAACTCCAATGTTTGATATACTAACTTCATCTCATCCTTCAGAAAATAAGTCTACATTGTGGTAATGTATTTGTTAGTGTTTGTAACCTTATATTTGCTTCCTGTCTTCGGGGGGTGGTTCCAGAGCCTATTGAATTGTGAAGAATTTGCTGTGCTGCATTCTAATCAGCTTGCTGATTTAAACACTTGAAATGTCTTGCATATCTGCATATTGTAGAAGAAAAATAAAGAGACATTGTGGGTAAAAGTCTTTATTTATAAAACAAACTTAGCATAGCTGTACAGTTCTATAAAAATGGTCCAATCTTGTCTATTTTTTAATTGTGTAAGTATTTATATGGTAACTTTGGTCTTCCCAATGTTTTCTAGTGTTGTAAGGTAGGTCAGCAACCCCACCCTGCCCTGTTGCTGCTGAAGTTGCCATTGGGAGGGGGTTTCTGTGTTTCCAGACAGCCAGTGGCTGCCTGATCAGAATTCCCATTCAACTTACCCAGTTTCAGACTCACTACTCTCTCCTTTCTGCAGTATGAGATCTTCTAAGCACAGTTACTGCTGTGCAAAACTGATCTCATCAGCTCTCAGTTCTAGAAACTCTTCAGGTATGATTCATTTCAGCTTTTCTCCTGTAAACAAAGATGTGGCTTCCAACTCGTCCTTGAGGCACATGAGTATGAAAGACAGTGGCTGTTTTCTCATAGCCCCTTAAAGCTAGAAATGGTGATATTTCCTGTGAACAAACACACACCAGTTTACAGTCAGAAAGTGCAGTTGGGAGCATAACAACCAAAGTCTTCTGAAAGCCATCAGTTCAACTGTCCCTGGGAAGCTTTATCCTTTATTTTAGGAAAGCCTGCTAGGAAAAGAAGTACCTATCCTGTTTGATCCTGTCCGGAGTGGATATTCACCAGACACCACTGTTTGAGTGCATGGACTTCATTAAAGACTTGAGAGGGTAAAAGGTACTGTGACTGCAGGCATTTTTGCTTTTCACTGTTGCTTAAAAGTGCAAGGTCTGGGAACAGATGGCACATTTATTTTAATATGGATTGAGGAGAATTCCATAAAACATTACTTTGTGGCATGAATTCTCACAGAGGAGAGGGCATATATGAACATGAAGTATATATCACTGGAGTGGTATCAATACCCCATGTGCTAGAGGGTTCAATTTTAATTTAAGCTGTGTTTTATTAAAAAGTTGTGGATGATAATGTTCAAAAATCTTAACTACAACTCTTCTCTAATTTATTTTGTATCCTCAAAAGTAGCTTATTTCATCTTGCAGTTACCATACCTGTTCTAGCACATTGAAGAGGATCAAGTGACTGGGTAATAACGTGTCATTGTAAAACTCCTTATTGAGCCAGCCAAGTGGATTAGAGTAGAACACATCTGCTTCATCAATATAGTTCTCATTGCCAGTTAGGTCTGGGGGACACTGAAGGAATCTCATTTTTAGAGGACAGTGAACGTGACTAGGGAGAAAAACAAAAACATGTTTCATGATAAAGTGATCGGTATCTAAGATTTGAAATAACTCATCACTTTAAAAGACACCTCAGTCAAACCCAAAATTGATTAGGTTTTTTTCCTCTCAATCATATTTTCTTCCCTTCAGTACTTCATACGAAAGCAAAGTAGATCAAGCAGATTCAGCTCCAAATTGCTGTGACTTTGTTGTTTGCAGTTCAGAGAAATTTTATCATAATAAAAATACCATCTGCACAACATCAGTTTCTTAAAAAGATACTTTTCCATATCAGCTTCACTTTAACGTTTTGTTTATTTGCCAGGATCTACTGCACAAGCTTTTGGAATAGTGATCTCAGTCACTGTAATTGTATTTCTTTACTGCCTAGCAGCAGAAGTAAATGTAAAATTAATACAGTTTGATTGTAACAATTAGTACCATAATGAAGCAGTGTGATGTACTTGGAGAAGTCATTAGATTAACTGCATATCCTCATACAAAGCTATTACATAAATGAATAAAGCTCAGATGCTGAATTTTATTCTGTGGTATAAACATTTGGCTTATGTCCCCTATTTGTTAATAGTTTTGCTTATGTCCCCTATTTGTATTAACTGTATGAAAAATCAAAACTCTTCCTGTATACATTTATCTTTCTCAATTAAGCTTTAGAAAAAGAAATCTTAATTTCTGATAAAGTGTATGGATTTTAATATAGTGCACTGTTAACTCTTTCAATACCTGTAAAGTGGAGTGGAGTGGCACGGCATCATGATGAAGACAAAGGTTTGTGACTGGTCAGAGTTATGACAGAGTTGCTGTATGTGACTCATAACATCCAGAGTGCCTCGCTGGTGAATCAAGCCTGTATACAGGGCTGGGAGCAGATTGGATAAGAGCAGGAAACTTACTGCAGATTTCTTCCATGCTTTCAGGTGTTTCAAAGAATATCCTGCAGAAAATTTGAGTAAGTTTGGGAGATAAGCAAGTACTAAAGTTTCACACATTTTTGAAAGTACCATAATATGCTGGCAAACCATTACTCAGTCAATAACAGTACTTTGCTTTCAGATACTTTACTACAGTGTTCTTTGAGTCTTTACTCTTTGAATGGAAATTCAAAGGTTAGACTTTGCCCTTTTCAACTCTTGGATTTAACAGGGTAAATCTTAAGCCCACACCTGTCTTCTGAAGTACAGAAATACTATTTTCAAACCAGTGCTTTGTCTCTTTAGACTTTAGAATTTAATTTCTTATAGTGAAAAACAGTCCAATCAATATGGATGAATGGCATGTGGCAACTTACTGCTGTGTTCTGATTCACGCATGTCTGAGTAGAGCCAGAATAAATGGTGCCTACATGTACATGGCTGTGTATTCTTTTTCTCCAAAATGCTGAAAGCTACAGCATTCCCTTCCTGTTATTAAATTTTGAGCTACTGTCCTTGGAAGAGCACACTCCTCCATTTTTCCCCATCTCCCATCGCTGCCCCTTTCCCCCTCTTTTCTTGAAGGAGCTAATAATGGGAAAAGATGTTTCTCCTGGTGGGAGATCACTGCAGAAACGTGTTTCTCACAACCACAACTTAGATGAACATGGCACAGACAACAGCTTCATGTTGCAGCCAGTCTGGAAACTCTTATTAA